TTTACGTGATTATGAGTAGTTTTATTTGCAGGTATTACCTTAATCACATCACTGCACTGCTTTACAAATTGATAATTGTACACAAACTCCTAAATCATTTCCATCAGTTCCCATTAGGAAAGTACTGTTTTTCCTAATTTATTAAATTACTGCTTCATCCAATATAAAATTTAGGGTAAGCTAGAGCCTATCCTAGCAAGCAATGGGCACATGGGAGGACACTGCCTGGATGGGATTTCACTGCATTGCAGCACACACACAGACACAAACTCACATCAGGGTTAATTTTCCCAGAAGCCAATTAACTTCTGTGGGAAGAAACCAGAGCACTCACAGGGAACCCACTTGCAAATTCAGAGAACATACAAACTCCACACAGATAGCACCCCAGGAACAGGAAGTGAACCAAGAGCACCAGTCCTGCAAGGCAGTAATGCTAACCATTGTGCCACTGTACTGCCCCTTTTAAATTAAATTTCGTACAAATCTTGGGTATCTGCATTTAATACACGTAATACCATGCAATTGTTTACCCAATGACAAATTTGCAAATCTTGAATGTCTTAAGCTAATGCTCAAGTCTTCTCTGCCATACCTAGCTTGGTGTGTTGTATGTTTTCTAACTACAATTATAAGCAGATAGTTTGAATACATTAGAAAGGAGAAGATACTTTTACAATGAATATAAGCTCTTATGCTGATTTTACAGGTCTTATAAAAAGGTCTCGGCAAGAAACTTTTACCAGGAAATCCATGTTTTGCAGGTGTAAAGATGTTTGATATTTAATGCAAGGATGTTGAGTCCTTGTCTGGCAGGGCAGATACAGTATGTCTGAAGGTTTTTGTTAAGAATTTGTTAAGCCACAGCACATAAAGTGCTGGACAAAAGCTGTTAAAGTGGTTCAGTTAAGCTAGTAACCAGGTATTTTAGCTCATTAAGTGCTGAGATGGAATGAAAACCTGTACATACAGTACATTCTCTGTATTAAAGCAGGTATTAAGCAAATACAATAATGCTGTGAGATTTAAGATGCCAAACTGTTTAACTAGATTTGATGCTGATGTCCATACTGTCTTTCAAATGTTTTAAAAGGAGATATGTACAATTCCTACATGTTCATTTTTTTGGCTATTTTATTTCAAACTTAAACTCATTTTAGCTCGCCTGAGCTAAAATCCAGTGGATGTGCTAACAAGGCATAGTGTACAGTATAAGGAACATCAGATATTATATCTTTCATCTGGAAGACTGAATCTCTACATTTTCTGTGACAATACGTCGTGGTGCATCAGTTTGAAATCCCATATTAGGCACAAACCAGCAGTTCCCAACTTTTATCAAAAAGAGAACCAGCTATTTTTGCAGCTTTTACAAACTACTCCCTACAATACGAGTTCTAAAAAAGAAAAAAATGTATTTCTTGAATTGCAGCAAAATAAAAAAAAACTGTAATATTGATTATAATACACTTAATGATGTCTTATTTTATAGTTGCCAGAATCATTAATAAACCTTTTGCTTTCCAAAAAAATGTATAATTAATATATAATGTGCAGCTGGTCTACATTAGCATTGCTCTTCAGCTGCTGTCCCCTTGTAAAAACTCTGCTCTTTTGGCTTCCAGTTCAGCAGGTTTCAAAAGTTTCAGATCACTGGTAACACATCCTTCTCTGGGGTAGCGTGACTTGATGGACCTGCATATAAAACTGTATACTTGTAGCTATGCAACTAACTCAGGCAAGATCAATCTGGTGCTTCCCTACCCTTCCTTGTGATCATTCAAATCTTTCACCCGTTTCTCGCCTTAGTTCTGAAGTATTTTATAACCCTGTATCTAGGTGAAGGGTATCTTAGTGGATAATGTTTGGCCAGAGGTCGAAAATATAAAAAGTGGGCAGTTTTTCTCTGAGAATATGACACAGTAACCTTCAACTCCAGCTACCCTACAAAATCACTATTCTTCTAAAGTTCATTTCACCCAGTAGCAATCATGTAGCATCTACTGTACAGTCTCCAGCCTAATGCTGCAGACCCCTTTGTCTGATCTTACTTGGTTATGTAGTTGGGAAATCAACTCTCTACAAGTGTTGCTGATTTCCCTGATTCCCTGTAAGGATTACTGTAGATACACAGCCATTAGTTAGAGTGATGACACACTGATTCCAGAGCTTTCTTCTGACTTCATCAATCCAGAGTCTTGTTTCACCGCACACTGTTTCTTAATCCTCTAGCTTTCTCTCTGCCTTTGTCTTCTACCAGTCCATACATACTACAACTTCCACTCTCACTGCACTAACCTGTTTTCCACAGCTGTCACCCCATCCTGTTTTTTTTTCTGAGTTTTAATGTCAAAACAATTGCCAATAGTAAATATTTTCACTTCCAGAGTTAAATGCAACCAAGACAAAAATTAATTCATATACCATATGTAGTATACATATATTGTATATAATATACATTTCTTTAGATTACAAAAGGTTTAATTCACTTTAGATTAGTTTTTATTAAAGAATACTGATTGTAATTGTAGACTTTTTTCATTCAGCACGGTTATTTTACAAATGTCTGCTATTTTGCTAAAAAAACTTAGGTTTTGCCTAACCAACATGTTACAGTTCCTTGAACAAGCAACAACATATCATATACTGTACTGTATTTAGAATTTAAGAAGGCTTTTTAATAAAGTTCTCAATAAAAATTATTCTCAAATTGTAGGTGGTAGAAATTCAGGGTACATATAAGGGGTGAACACTCAAAATGTAGTGCTGCAGGGATCTGTAGTAGGGCCTTTGTTATTCTTAATTTATATCAAAGATCTAGTCTCTGGAATAGTTATTAATCTGGTCAAGTTTCCAGATGTTAACAAATTAGGATGAGCAAACACTGGAGAAATAATAATGAAATTCAAAATGATTTAGATAAAATTAATCACAGGGCAAGCAACTGGAACATAACGTTGAATGTAGACAAGTGCAGGGTGTTGCATATAGATAGTAAAAACAAATTATAAATCCAAAATGGAAAACACTGAGCTAGAAATGGCCACTAATGAAAAAGGTATTTATGGTGTTTAGGTGTTTATATTGATACGTCATTTACATTTTCTAAAAATTGTAGTGCTGTTATTACAAAGACAAACAGGCTAAGATTTAGAGTTAAAAGCATATAATTTAAAGTCATGTTAAAATTGTATAATGCAGTAGTAAGGCTTCATTTAGAATTTTGTGTACAATTCTGGTCACTATATTATAGAAAAGTTATTGCTGCTCTGGAATCCATCCAGAAAATAGCAAACAGATATATTCTGGGCCTTAGGGGAAAGTACTACAGTGATAGGATAAAGGAACTGAACTTTTTTTAATCTGGAATGGAGAAGAAAGTGAGGGGGCCTGATACAAGTATTCAAAGTCCCCAAAGGCATAGATAAAGTCACAGCAGATTTCTTCAGAATTAAAATAGAAACAAATCAACTGGTACACGTGGAAATGTGAAAGTGCATTTAAAACTGAGAAAAGGATACTCTTTTTTACTCAATAGATTGTGGGAGTATGGAACAAACTACTCAGCCATGTTGTTAGGGATGATACAATTGTTTTTTTCAAATGTCTGAAAGAGACCCTTCAATCAATTAATCTCTACTGTACCAAACACACTAGATGGGCAGAATGGCCTTCTCTTGTTTGTAACGTTTTTGTTTTCAGACTACTAACAGACATGATTAAGACTTTTTGAATTCTATAACAAAAACATCCAATTCCTGCACTACTTGGAAATAAAGGTACTATGGTGCAGGAACACCATTTTTACATTTTTACTTCATTAAGAACTGGCTCTGGCCACAGTGTCATTTGGGAACCACTGTTATAGACTAAGGTACTTTTACTGACTGATTTAATTTTAACTAGCATTATGCCATTATATAAACAACCAGCATTATATACAGTAATGAACACCTCCATGTGATATTGGTATTTCTGTATCACATTAGGAATGGATTTCCTTCTTACCTTTCAAACTTACACACATAAATTAAATTTACCAAGATGTTCTTAGTCTTTTGCTTCAGAAAAGTATCTCTTAAGCTTTTCTCTCAAACATACCATAAACGGAAAAAGAAAACCCATAGAAACCAGTCTGGTTTACATAATTTTCAATTGGAGTTTACATATTTCCTTTAGAATTTTACATGTACAGTAAATATCAGTACAAAAATTAAGTTTTTTACTAAGATTTAGGCTGCTGCTACTTGATTCTTAATTCAGGTCCTTCTTCTTGAGCGTGAACAGTATTTTCAATTTTCCAGTTGGTTGACACAAACCTGTTTTGATATGAGCAAGAGCATAATGTCCTACCATCCCTTAAGTACATCTAAAAAGATAACATCTGACCTGATTGATATGGTAAAATGTTTCAATTCAGCTGAGTTTGCTCCAGACTGGGTATAGGTAGTATATTAATAATACATTATTATATTATTAATGAATTATTTAATAATGTATATTATGTACAAATAAATAAAATATATGATTAATACAATTGCTCTTGACTTTCCATTTTCTAGATTGATCTCTAGATCTAATCGGCTAAAATCATTTGTTTTATTTAGCATTCTTTTAGAGTCCTTCCTATCTGAATGGATAGGAGCACATCACTACTGCCCAATTTAACCCATAGCACAGCTTTGGTGAACCCATTGGTCACTAAATATCTAGATATGCTCTGGAACAAAATCACTTCCTCTTTTAAAGTAAAATATTGAATGAGAAAACCATATTGCACTTGTTCTAACATCCCTAAAAGGTAGAAATGTATGCAGTAACATTAAAACAAAAAAGAAAACAGTAAAGTGTTTATATAACTAAATATGTGCATCAAAGCTCATATGTGAAAAGTCTCACAGGATGTTCACTTCATGTCTATTGTGACCTATGAAATTCAAACTTATGGTTTGACAGCATTATGATTACATGACAACTCAAACAAATGAATGTTTACTTACCAAGTTCAGGTGCTTTACTGAGGACAAAAGCATAAGCCCAAAATTTGCTGACTGGTCCATTGTAGAAACTCTGATCACACACAGACTGTTTTAGCCCTTTGGCCATCAGAATATATACCATGTATCCTCCAGTTCGGACAGCACCAAAAATACTTTCAAAAAAAAAAGAAAAGAAAACATATTAAAAGTGGATTTACATGAACTGAAGAGGATGATAAAAACATATAAATAAAGCCCAGATATATTGTATCTAGTATGAGTATTAGTGGTGAAACATTTTATAATCTTCCTTACACGTCCAACACAGAAGATTTCAATACTCGATCTGGAAGTAACTGAGGGAACAAAACTGCCTGGACTGAAGGTAAAGGATTAGTAAGCATAACAAAAACAACTGACATACTGATTGATATTTCATTTGACGGGTAATACAATACTGTGTATCTGTCAAAGCCCTTAATAGCCAATTAAAGAGACTTTGAATAACAAAGCTTTGTTGACAACCATACGATATTTACTTTGTGAAAATAAAGAAAGAGAACAACCTTTGTATGTAATACAAGTCATATTGCACAATGCATATAATGCATACATTTAAAGGTTATCCCATGTGGTGCAGCAATATAAAGTATCATTTTGTGAGGAAGCACATTTTACTCCTCATTGGAAAAGTGAAATACATATAAATGTATACTGTTATACTTGTGAAAATACAATGAAACACATTTTAAATGTACATCTATTTTTGTTCAAGTATATTAAATATACGTATTAACAATGTCTGAAACAAATGACAAAAACAAATATACTGTACAACGAGCTTTTTAACATATCACTTTATCCATGGATGGTTCTAGAAAAATAAAGTGATTAAAGTGATTGACATTTACAGTACTGTAACACTGTCTGTGATTCACCTGAGTGACATTATTAAAAGTTGAAATTATACAGGTGAGATTATATCAAACCTAGACAAAGACATGCTGTTAACTACTAAGTGTACAATAGACATATTTATAGTAAGATTTTCTGGAAAAAATGTCTAGTTGTAAGAACTAAGAGGTCATACAATTTAACACATTTACCCAGATACAGCTGAGTTTACAGACAGGTAAGCAGAGGGGATCAAAAGGGATTTTTTCTGGTTTACTCAAGTTAATTAACTTCTTGTTAAATCATTAGAAGCAATTCAGTAAATCATTCTTCATCAGTCCCAAAACACAGCATAAGAAACACACAGAGAGGAACTGAAAAAGAGACAAGGAAGGCAAGGAAGGAAGACACACAGAGAGAGACAGATGGAAGAAAGACCACCACTTGTCTCTTGCTCTAAGTTCATGCCAGATGAGATGACCTTATTGGAGACCACATTCACAGATTCTAAATAAGTAAATAATTAAAACCTTGTTTATAGAGTTTATTGTCCTTTCATTTAAGGAAAGTCTCATTTCCATTGATGTGAAATGCTAAATGTTCTCTCCTAATCTGTTGCTGTATCATTAGAACAGAATCCCATTAGATTTTGGGCATCTATGCTATATGAAAGAAGATTTAGTACTGGGTTGCAGTGTTTTATTTAGGATAAAAGGTACAATATAACTGTTGTTAACGTGTAAAGATATTGCATAGTATTCCATGTTAAAGGCCTAATATTCTTGGTTTTCTGAGTCTGTAGATAATGGGCTTCCAAGATACCCTGGTTTGTATATAATGTAATTGGTATATGTTTTTTTTGTTTAATGTTCTATATTTGTGTCACTTAGTTGCATTTTTTTATTAAGAAATATTTAATTGTAATAGTTTGCCACTGATTTATTACTCTTTAAACAAAGCTGGGCCAAGAATATGGAACTCGTGTGCGAGACCTCACATGCATCAAATTAGATTTATTTTCTTCCTTGCACACTATTTCCCCCTATAATTTGAAACAATATTTTACCTACTGTACATAATTTCTGTTCAATAAAATTCCAGTGCACCTGCTATAAAAACAATTGTCTTTTTTTTAATTTGATAAATAAGGGATACATATGCTCAGTAAAATGTACTTTATTATTTACATTCTGGATGTCTATTAATGTATACTATACTTCCTGCAGTTATATGTAATGGGGACACCTTCATTGATACATTGTTATGTGACTACAGAAAGTCATTCATTAATATGTCCTTATGTCCATAAAGGATATTTTCCACAATTAGAAATTAGGTTTATTAGTATTAACCACAAGAAGTGGAACATCAGGATTCTGAACCTTTTTATTGAATGTTGTTTATTGAAAGGCAGAGATTTAAAAGGTATAGCCGCATCCCATGGTGCACATACAGTATGGACAGGTGAAGGTACAAGGGTTTTCTGAGGTAATAAGACTGACTGGTTAAACTCAAGAAATATAATTTCATCCAATGAACCAAATCCACCTCACACATGCACCAGCATTTTATAACTATTCATTAGAAAATGTTACAGGCTGGATTAAGAACGATACCATCAGTCTTTAGATTGAAAGCCAAATCTGTGTTACTTTTTTTTTTCTAAATAAAAAACAAGTGGTAAAATGATAAAAAGGGGAAAAACAAGTCCTCCAGGTCATCCCTTTGTTTTCTCTTGGTTTCCTACAACTGTCAGGATCCCTGCTAAGAAACATGTTTACTCATGTCTTAGTTTTTAGAAATTCTTCTGCATGAAAGACTGTATTTGACTCTCCCTCAGACTACCGGTGTACAGCTTCTTCCTCCAAAGCTCCTTCGTCCTTCATACACCTACTAAAGAGAGAACCAGTTTATGGAGGACTGCAGCTTCCATCTAACACAGTGGTACAGACCGTAAGCTTTGTCCTCTCAGACTATAATTAGCTGACGGCCTGTGGCAACATATGTTTAATATTTTTAATAATAATAGTTAATAGTTTTACCCAGACCAGCACTGTGCCACAGTTATTTTAACAGACAGCATTAAAAATGATAAAAATATTAATTCCTATTAATTCTCTAAATATAAATCTTTCATTATAAAGTAAATCATATTGTCACAGGCTGAGGCAGGTGACAATGGAGGTTTTTTCAGAATCTTTATAAAGTGTGCAACACCTGGCAGTGTAAACATCCAGTTTCAAAGCAGAGGGGATGCTTGCTATGATGTGGGGGCTGATCGAAGCAATCATAAAGTTTAACTTGCTTTACCTTAGTTAATTAAGTTCTGGGTAAATGATTAAGTGTCAATCAACAGTCCAGAAAAACGCCATACTGTATTAAATCAGATCAAGAGAGAGAAAAGGGAGAGGTAGAAAAGAAGGCCAGACCACGAGAGAGAGGAGTTAGGAGAAGTTGGAACTTGAAGCGTGTGCCAGGCTTAAGTAAAAAACGAAGGGATCTAAGTACTTTATTTGAATCTTGCTAAGAGAGCTTGCTACACTGTAGTTTTTTAGAGAACCTGGAGTTCCTGTGTGAAGAATCCCTTGGTTAAATATTGCAACTGATTTTGGAATAGGGAGATAGGCTCCCATTTATTTTGTGACTTCTGTATTAGAGAGATTTAATCGTGGGTTGTAACCTATTCATTTTAGAAGGCAGTTTATCTCTTCTTTGGCCTCTGTAGGCATTATATAAGGTCAAGTACTGTACTCGGTAGAAGCATGGAGTTTTTTGGGAGGTTTAAATGCAGGTCTCTGAAACACCTTATCTGTAAACTTTTAAACACAGTAACTTGTGTTTTTGTACCCCCACTCCCCACAATTAGTAATAATATATTTATTTGAAATGATTACATACAGTTCTCTAATAAAAAACAATACTACCATTCACAAATGCCCTTAACCCAGAAGATGACTTTAATACTTTGGACTTTGTTGCTAAATCCTATGTGTTGCATGGGGTTCAGGATTTTGTAATTAAGAAATATACAGTAGCAGACCACAGTGTGTTTGGTGGTTTAATGCTACACTGAAAATGGCATCACAACACAAACTACAGCTACATAATGTATTTATACAAAGGTATCAACAAAAGACTAAATACAGATTAAAATATAGAATTTATCATGGCTACATGGCACTTTTAGAGGGAAGCTTTACAATTTCAACACAGAACTGATGGGAGAGACTTACACTATGTGCAAAGGAGCAGTTATCAAGGTAAATCGTGACTTGACCACTAAACTGCTAGATATGATTTGATGAGAAATACCAAACATAGGTGAGAAATAATGATATTGCTGTAATAAGATGATGTTGCAGTGATTAAGTACTGTGGCCTTTTCCTACGGTTGCAATATATTTTTCTTGGCACTAATTATTCTTATGTGTGTCCCAGGTGTAAAAAGAAGTTTATAATGGGGTACCATTCTATGTAAAAGACTTATCTCTAGAACTGAGAACACAATAACACAAACATAGTTATACAAGAAATTACCATTGAATACTTCAAACAGTTTAAATGTTTAAGCACAGCATCTCATTTTTAACTTGTTCCTCAGATTTGTTCATAATGAATACAGTCCAGCAGAATTTTATGTGCTCCTTATAGGATTAACTCTATCAAATGACTTAAATGCAATTGATAACTTAGTTCAGTTACATAAGTAAGAGATCAGGTGAAAAACCAGAACACTTCCATTTAAATACTATCTTGAAATAGCTTTTACAGATTTAAAACTATGGTAAGAGAAGCAAATCCATTTCCTAAGTGATGTAAGTTATAGTATGTTAAATGAGAAATCTAAGGAAAACTAATTTTGTTTCTGAGCATAACGTGACAAAAAATGTAAGAGAGCTCCTTTATATATTCTTATATTGACATTTTTTAGATATTTTCAAATAACAACAGCAGCTGGTCCTTGCAATTTGCTGTATAGGCATTCCAGAAATGTGTTCCAAATAGACAAAATATGAGCTAACAGAAAACTGTTCCTTAATAAAGGAATGACAAAAAATATATCCAAATAACATAAGAGAGACAACGTATAAAGAGGACAACCTGTAGCTCTGTAATATTTTACTACTCATAATGCCTTTTGGGACATTCCTGAAAGGTACTTTTTATATGATTAATGTTGATATCTGGTATTCACTGCTGTAATATATACATTAAGAAGAAGTGAATATTCCAATATAAATGCTATCTTTATAATCCTTATTTTGCATGCATTGCCTAATATAAAAAAGGGCTTAGGCAAAGCCATACTTTGGGGTCCTCACCTTAGATTCCATTATTGAATGTCTCTCCATCTGTTGTTGAAGCCCCGATTGCTATCATTTAAAAAACCTGATGAAATCAGAGATCTACAAGTGTCTTAGTTTTGACTGAGACAATAGTGCTAAGGAACCCTTACTTTAGCTTCTGTACTTATCTAATTAAGTATTTCTGGTCCTAAAGTGCTGCTCTGCCAGCTGGTTTTTATTACATGCTGGATTCTTAATGACTTCATTTGAATCAGTCAGTCACTTAATTGGTCTATAATACCACTGCTTCCGGCTCTTGACGTATTAAGGATTTTAAGGTACTGTACCTAAAACACCAAGGTGAACCTGGCGAGCCCTCCAGAATCAAGAATATCGGGAATATCACTGTCAATAAGCCTGACTTTTCTATATACAGTAAGTGAACAAGTTAAGTGTCATATGTGTCATATTGCATTGTTTTCCATGCACAGTGGACAATGCCACACTAACCTTTTATAAAAGCACCAACCAGACATAAATGTCAAACTCCTAGGCACGTAATTGCTTTTCACACTTTTTATGCTCTAATAAAAAGTGAATTTGGCTGTATATTATTAATAATTGAAAATGGTGGTGTGAAAAATGGAGGAAGAGGATTTATTGTTATTGAGTAGCTTATGTAAAAATGAAAAGTAGTGCTAGAAGGAGAGAATGTCATGTTGAATCAAGAGGTAGCATAAGACAAGGTATTGTTAAAGCAGTATTTCAGGATAAAAACAGCTTAAAGCTACTGCAGGAACTGGTGACAGAAAACCTGGAGCTGGATGTCACTCAAGTTCAGGTCAAGAGCTCGGGCGTCTGTCTGCCAGAGAGGATTTTAACATGCTGCTCTGATCCACAGAGCTCTGCTGTGTTGCAGCACACAAGTCCATTATATCAAAATTAGAAGCCAGAAAAAAGAGGAAAAACAAAATTGGGTACAATGTGCATTACCTCCATCCCTGGCTTAAATACTATATTTAATGAAGTCATAAAACAAAATACTCAGATTTAATACCCAGTGTCTGAACTTAGGATACATGACTATAATTAGAGATAATTGGTCTAAGCTTAATACTCACTGTATCAATATGTAATGTTTGCCAACTCCACCTTTGTTCTAATGAACTAATTGCCGTCTCTTAGTGTAAAGGATCTATAGCACATGCTAAAGCACAATTGAGTCACAATTTAAGAGGGAACATAAAGGCTACTCCCCCAAAATAATTACTTTACTCCACTTTTCACATTTGTGGAGTTTATTTTAGAAATGTAAAACAATCCTTTGTTTAAACCAACACATAATATAGTTGTGATACAATGCTTGTGGACCTCGCATATACAGAGACAGAGCTCCCTTATAGCTTGTAAATCAGTTAATTGTTCGAATAGTTCAAAACCCTGATGTCCCGCAACTGGAGGAGGGGGGAGAGATCCAGCCATGCATATGTGTGAAAAATGTGTGGAACAAAGGGCAGATCAACATCCACAGACATTGACCTAGCAACAAAACTGAAGATACAGTACGTCCTGTGACATGGACAGATATAGATGTAAAGACATGCTCTGCTCTGCTACTGTATATGGTATGTAACTTCCCTTTTTGAACCAAAAACCCTTTACTGAGCTTGACCTTGATTCAGGGTAGACTCATGAAGATGGAGTGAGGAAATGATAGGAAGCCTCAAACAGCTTGCAGCCTGAGTCAAGCAGGCACAGATCCAGGGCTCTGAGACAGGTATAAATAAAGTGAAGAGCTCCGGGGACTGCTTGGAGAAGTCACAGAACCCTCCATGGATGATGCCAACAACACCTCAATCATCACTTTGATTAGCCACTTAGTCTAACTGCCTAGCAAGCCATAGGAGATGCCATTGAACAGAAGTATAAGAGAAGTCTTGATAACTAATCTCAACCCTACTCCTAGTAGAGCTCTACCAATTGAGGACACCCACTCTTCTCACCCAGAACCTACAGCTTGATCTTTTTACCTTCCTTCATTATTTGGAAGTTGTTTACACTGGTAAACACTCTGCAGTGTCCGATTAAAACTATCTTTTTATAAAGAAATCTCTTCCAAACAATTTTTGATATGACCCGTTAAAGACAGTTCTATCAAAAATGTAAAACTGAAAAAAAAATTCAACCAAATTTCACTTACCTAAAGACAGCAAGGCTCAGTGACCAAAGTACTAGAGGTTTTCGCAGTTCAAACTTTTCCCTCTGTTTCATCAGATGGCGGCCACCAAATATAAATGCAGCATACAGAGCTGAGAATAAAAAGGATTTCTTCCTACAAAAGAGAATTGCAAGATATTAGGGCAATTCAGATTTCATTTTTATAACTGTTCAGGTGTGTGGTGCTTTTGTTATTCCTTATGTCACTTAAAACCTGGATCCCCTTGGAGTTTTATCTGGTGTTTGACATTGGAGTGAAAACAGGAGCAAATAGATACTAAGAACATACACACCCATGAACGTCATACACACCCATGAATTTCTAACAAAGTACGCAGTTTGGATAACAGAAAGACAAAATTAACTCCTAACAGACTATAATATTTTATATTTGTATTTTTTCACTTTGAGACTACAAATTTTGTACTCCCAATTAGAAACTATGTATTGATTGTCAACACTGTTACAACCACTATATTATGCATATTTGCCTATAGAAATGTACTCTGAGAGCTGAACACCATTTTTCATATTTCCACTCCCTGTGTCTGGAATGAGTTAGCATGGAATGGAAGATTTATGAGGTTCTCACTGGCTTTATACCTCATTGACACTCAGTGGGTCACAGCAACCCAGGAATATCCTGTGCAAATCAAGTCCAACCCTCATGGCTCTTGGCTAGCTGTGCATGTTTAATTCCTCAGCCCTGGTCAGTCGATTAATGACACTGTCCAGATTTGACCGTTCAGTGTCTGATTATAGAGCTCAACTTGTGTTTCAGGTGTTTGCAATTATTGCAACAAAAATATACATTTTAATATAATACAATGGCTTCAGTTGATTTTATGTGTTTGACTAAAATGTATATGAGTTATTTTAAATAAAAAAATAAATAATTCCTGACACAGTATTCAATTAAAAATATTTAAAAGGGTGTTTTATCAAAGGAGTGAAATCAAGCTACTAAAACCAGAGGATATGAAAAATATAGCTTTTTTAAACTTTCAATTACCTACACAATGAAAATTAAATTTTCAAAATTTCTTTTTCACATTTCACATTTTCACAACTTTGATTTTTTACACCATACGGATACAGAACCTGTAATGTTATTACAGTTGTTCAGCATGTGAGAAAAAGTAATTATTAACAAAATAGTGAAATATCTTTGCTGTGTTAATTTAGTGATGGCATGAAGGACTGTGTTTCCACACTTGAACAACAGAATAAAAATTGTCAAAAATGGAAGATGAATAATATCCAAAATATTTTGTAAGGATTGAGATTTATATCAAAAGCAGTGTACAGGACTTTGAAGCTAGGCCTTAAACTATCATATCAAAATAAGCTGTCTACAACATCTACATTAAGTTCATTCATTTTAAAGTAAATGGCCTAAAATAATAAACTGATAATCAGGATTATCATCTAAAAAAAGACAACTGCATTCAGGCACAGTCCTATTCAAAGCCTGTGTGTTGTGCCCACTGAAGGGATACAGTATGTCTGAATTTCTGCTGCTGTAGTCCATGGCAGCAGATGTTGATTGGGTGCTTCAGTCTATTCAAAAAAATGATCACAGGCAGTGCACGGATATAGCAGATGATCACTGAAGACACTGATTCAAATTGAAGATCAATGCTGAATTCAAACAAGTGAGTCATTGAGCCACTGGGGTAATGTGACCTACTCCTTTACAGCTGTTTCCTGTTCACTAACGCCGCTTTTTAAAACACAACTTAACAAGCGGTGAGCTGAATGTGCAGTATATTCTGAAATGAGCTTGAAGGTATTGTGTACTTTATTGTTCTGCGTACTAAGATAATAAGATGAAAGTACAGTACATATAGTACCATGAACCAAGTTGGATGCTTCTATTATAAATCTTTTACGAGGTACCAGATCCAATGTGTACAGCTATGGTAGCTCTGACCCTCATAAAATGCAGAACACACTAAACAACTTTTATCTTCTTTATGTGTGCATTTATGACCAGAGACAGCTCAGTGTTGACCAGTTGTGCAAATCTCTCTTAGGAAGAAAAAAATAAAATATACAGGACCATCCAGATCTAAAAAATGTAAGGATATCTCAAATCAGCCTTCATGTTAATTTAGATAACAATACAAAAGTGCTCTAAGACAATTAACAATATTGGATTTCTACACATCCAAATGTTTTTAAACACTTTTAATTCAAGATTTAACACAGAGGATGTTTGTCTGTTCGCTCATCTACAGTTTAAATTTCATATAAAACCCCAAAAATGTGAAAGAGTGAAAGAACCTCCAGGTGCAGATAATACTGTAAGAGAAATAGGACTGGCAGAAGTAGAGGTGTCATGAACTTTGGCTCTAAGTAATAATGCTAATCTCTATAAGTACCCTTTCTGTGTATATTCCAAACTTATACTCACAAATTAGAATGAAAATCAGCCTCCTATAACTGCAATTACAAAAAAAGACGTACATTTTCTATTACATCTGTCTATTATGCTTCCATTCTGGTAGTTTAATGTTTTTCTTTCATTTTGCAGGAAGAATTTTTGCATATTAAGTACTAATGTTATTAACAATTCTAGTAACAGTGTTAGAACTCTGCAGTATTATTAGTAATAAAAATAATGATAATTGCTAACACTTATATAGCGCTTTTCTGGACACTCCACTCAAAGCGCTTTACAGGTAATGGGGACTCCCCTCCACCACCACCAATGTGCAGCATCCACCCGGATGATGCGACGGCAGCCATAGTGCACCAGAACGCTCACCACACATCAGCTATCAGTGGGGAGGAGAGCAGAGTAATGAAGCCAATTCATACAGTAGATGGGGATTATTAGGAGGCCATGACTGGTAAGGGCCAATGGGAAATTTGGCCAGGACGCCGGGATTGCACTCCTACTCTTTTCGAGAAACGAAATTAAAAAGCCTTCAGATTTTTAATGACCACAGAGAGTCAGGACCTTGGTTTTACATCTCATCCGAAGGACGGCGCCTGTTTACAGTATAGTGTCCCCATCACTATACTGGGGCATTAGGACCCACATGGACTACAGGGTGAGCGCTCCCTGCTGGCCCCACTAACACCTCTTCCAGCAGCAAACTTCTTCCCAGTTTTTCCCAGGAGGTCTCCCATCCAGGTACTGACCAGACTCACACCTGCTTAACTTCAGTGGGCTGCCAGTTGTGAGTTGCAGGGTGATATGGGTGATACTAATAGTAGTAGTAGAGAGAAAGTTATTGTTATTAGAACAGTGGAATAACCTTGCTCTGTTGCTGTAGTGATGTCAAGATGTCCTGTTTATTTTTCTATTTTTGAGTAACAGAATAAAAGCAGATCATTGACGCATGATCAAAAATCCACTTATTCTTGGCAAGAGCTTGCAGCAACCCAAAACCTATCTGGAAAGGTGAGGCTACAACCTAAAAAAGAGCACACACACACGTGCATACTGTACACACCAGGACAATTTATAGATGAGCACATCTTCGGAAGATGAAAGAAAACTGAAGCATCTGCAGGAAACCCACATTCCCAAGCAGTCTCCAAAACTACTACTGTCTGGTATCATACCAGAACCCAAGACTTGTGAGGCAGAAGTGCTAGCTCCTTAGATACAGTCATACATGAAACAGTCCACAACGCTTGATTAAAAAAAATATATTTCTTATTTATGCCTGTCTCAACAGAGAAAAATACAAGGAGTATATAGACTATTCCACTTCAAATCATATAACAAACTCCCATAATGATTTAAAATGGAGTGGTTAATTGGTGTTGATGAATTAATGCATAGTTATAGCTATTACCATAGAGATGTTAAATGCATTTTTAATTATGCTAGCAATTATCTAGTGTTGAGAGAACAATTTTGATCTTGGCATTCAGACTTCTACTGAACCAGAATATCGCACACAACTCCATACTATTAATGACACTCTATGTACACATTCTATAATATTATGATTGTTTACCTTATACAACACCAAACATTGAAATATACCATACTGTTAAGCTTTAACCATGAATCTGGCTGCATTACTAATGAGAAGCAAAGTTTAAAGCTGTATTTCATAATCCACAACTTGAAAATCTTCACATCACCTAGCACTGAAACATAATTGTTTCCTATGCCTCAGTCTGTATTTCTCATCCATTGCTACAGTACCTGCAGAAAATGTATTTATTTATTTTCCACCCTCAGACTTTTTATCATCCCATTCACTCCCTTGCTTGAAATGTGAAGGGTATATTATCCGCTCAGTTATAAGTGTCTTGATTTCAACTTTAGATTTCTGGAATGTCACAAACTGACTTCATGCAAACTATTTATCTGTCGCTAATACATACATTCTGATATCATGCTTTACAGATACAACACAGTGACTGTTAAAATGGCAATACTCTATGGAAAAGACAAATGTTAAGCTACTTCAGTTTTTCACAATAACTCTAGTCTATAAATCTTATTGACAATCTAAAGTTGTGCATTTCTACTGAACATTGGCATTCCATTTCAACCAAAAAAGACAATACATTTAAGAATAACGCAGAAGCCTTATGAAAATGGTGTGAATTTAATTATTTAATGAGGTTCATCATTTTAATTTCTTTGAGTTTTTGTTTTTTTGGTAGCACGTGTTAATTACAGTGATGGCAGCGCCTTGTCTGCCAGAAGACCAGGTTGGCCAGAAGACTGATCCATCCATTTTCTAACGGCTCCTTCCAATTTAGGGTCACGGGGGAGCCAGAGCTTATCCTGGCAAGCAACACGCCCAAGGTAAGCTACACCCTGAATGGGACTGAATCACAGAGCAGACAGACACAAACACAGACACAGACACACTAACACCAGGGCTAAAAGTTCTTAGATGTCAACTAACCTACCAGTATGTCTTTGGACTCTGGGACTAAACTAGAGCACTCAAAGGAAACCATGGGGAGAACATACAGTACAAAGCTATACAACTACACAAACAGGTCTGGAATTGAACCCCAGGCCCAAGCACTAAGGCTAACCACTGAGTCACTGTGCCACCCCAGCCAGCAGATACAGCATGCAATTTCACATTGTTACAGAACTGTCATCAAAGGCTTCACTATGTCACAGTG